TTTTTTTTTTTTTTTTTTTTTCCCCATTCCTCACATCAGTGCATTAACAACTGCACACAGCTGCTGCCAGACGACAAAGCTGGTGTTTTTAAACAGTTCTTACCAGCTTTCTTCCAGATCTCCTCTGGCACGTATCCAGACGCAGGCCTGTGAAGGAATTCCCGATGTGATTCTGCAGGAGGAGGGGGTGCGGAGGGAAAAAGAAAGAGCATCGTAAGCAATGCTTGCTTGTTGAGAGCAAGGCTTAGAGAAATACCTTTTCCCTTTATTTACTGTTCAGACAAAAAAATCACGTGAAGTTTTTCTTTACTCAAAATAAAACGGATGCCGTGGCTGTAGCTCACAAATGTCACATGGACCAAGTCAATGTTTAGGACTCAAATGTCTCATCTTAAGCCAAGCTGAAACTAGTTAGCCTTATTTTATTTTACAGCGTTTCAAGTCAACTCTATACAACAGTTTCCATGCTTTTAAGGCTGGCTTTGCGAGACCAACTGAGGGAATGACGTGCTTCATCCTTTGTCATTATGTTTATGAAAAGGAAGAAGAAAGAGGGCAACAGTCCAGGTTTGTCACATCTGCTCTGTGAAAACAGAATCGCTACTGACGAGTGGAGATAAAAGCCAAGATGTCATTCCAGTGAACAAATAAGCTGTCCACAGAAAAAGAAAGGGGTGTTTCTCTATGTTCAGAGCTACGCTTTCCTGTATCTGAGCCCATGTTGGCAACTGTAGCTGCACAAGTTTGAAAAACAGAACCTCTAACTTTAGGTTAAGCCCCTCAATACATATGCTGCCAAACAACCTCACTGGAGCTGAAGCTCGTAATTCATCCATATATTTCAATCACATTTTAACATCTTTTCCCCCCTCCTTTTTTTTTTTTTAAAGGGTTTAACCTCTGGGCCTGAGCCTAAGAGCTCTGAAATCAGCAAGATCCCTTCCACACTGACTTCAAAGATGCCAGATCAGACAATACAGAAAGAAAATTCACTTTGACCTGAAATTTAGCATACGGATTCTCAGCAGATGAAAAGCTGCTCTTTTCAAATACAATTTAAAAACTGATTAACTATTTTTCAAAGTAATAGAGGAGAAATTGAAAAAAAAAAAACCAAAACAAAACACATAGTGGTAACGTTCATTGCCATGATTACTATTATCTGTATAACAGAATTCAAGTGTCAGAATAAAGTAACTTATTACATTAAAAATTATGCTTGAACCTTTCTAGAGATGTTACTAGAAATTAAACATCCTGTTTGATGCCCAAGTTTGAAACATAACAAAAGTACACCTGCCATTCTTTGAATACTAATTTTTACTAAATATATTAATTTTTGTATCTTAAAGTTATTATTTGCTGACTTGGTCAAAAAGAAGTATTTTTAAGAAAAAGGCTGAATCATTAGGTTTTGCAAATTGTTTACCACCATACATATGCATGCAGTACTGTTTATATACAGCAGGCTACAGAAAGTTAAATACATTTAAAAGCTGGCATTTAATATTGCAGACAGGTAACAAAGGTGGAAATGACAGCAGCCGTTTCAGCTACACAGAGAATAGGGAATCCCAGTTCCACTGTTGCACAGATGCAACACTGTTCCACAGATGCAGCTTCTAGCACATGAATCTGCAGACACCAACGGGGTGGACTGAAGCTTTGCATCTTGACAGGCAGCTGAGTGGATTCCCCCAGCTCTTCTGTTTGTCACTAAAGTATGGGATGAAAATAAAATGGATTTTTGTAGGCAGAATTTCACACCTCTCGAGCCTAAAATGATAGGGGATGTGTGCAAGATTCTGCAAAACAGCAACTATTTATATTGGTTTAATCGATGTGACAGAGGACTTCAGACCCGATACTGCAAATCGGAAAATTCCCAGTAACACATGGCTCGTATGATTCTGGAGATGGCAAATATCATTGGGTACATCTCTCTCATCCCTTGGAGGCTTTTAGACTTACAGGCACAGTGCCAGTTCAGTCAGGACAGAGGCGGCAGCAGAAAACATTGCTTGAAAGTTCAGGAAAACTAAAGGTGAAAAATTAAAACACTTACTTGCTCTTCCTGCAATACCTGCAGGAAAAGACCCATCCAGACTCGAAATGTGGCAGAACAAGGGGTTTGTTGCATTCATATCTTGTACTTTGTGCTTAGTTTTCCTGTCTGCTACTTAGGGCACAGTCCGTAAGTCCACTGCAAGTGGACCATAACCTTGATTTAAGCCCTTTACCATGGTACTTAAAAATAGAGAGATATGGAGCTGATTTTTGAGTATACATGACTTTCCAAAAAAGGAATTAAATGACAGAAATGACCAGATTGCCAACTAATTGTTAAAATTTCCAAAACATAAACATCAATCAAGCTCTTATTCCAACCACAAATTATTTACATGAGGAATGAGATCCTCTGCAAGAAGAGGATTAAATCAAGAGCTTGTGAGAGACTTTCCCATAGTTTGGAATGGTGCACAAAAAAAAAGACAAGAAGCACTTATAAAGATAATAAAAAATGTATTTTCCAAGCAAGAAAAGTATTATTAACATGGCTGCTGTTTAGTCAGTGGTGATTAGTCCATGAAAATAATCTTCTTTTTGGGGCTAAACTACAGGACGTGACCAGAGGATGCAAGTCTTATATTACTTCTGTTTTTAAGGTAAGGTGTCCTTCAGATCAAGGATCACAGAACTTGCTCACTAAAACTAAAACACAAAAGATCTTAATTTGGACATCTAGCAAACTCAAAGCAAAAGTAACACAATTGAGTGAAGTCCCTAAAATAGTAAATGTAAAACAAACTGCAAAAAGCCATAATAAGGAAAACTCATTATATTAACTGACTGCAGCACCTACAAGTCAAAGTAAATTCTGCCTTGAAGGAAATGGAATGAAATCAGACAAAATTAGGAATAACCTGAAGCGAGAAGGCAGCTCACACAGAAAAGGATAACAGAAAAGCCTTTACATAATACAAACGTTTATAAATGGTGAAAGTACAACTTACTATGCAGAACAATGACTCGTAAAATCTGAATTTACTTAAAATTCGCAGCAAGGCATGGTTTGAAAGCACTTGTTGATAATCAGACCAGTTCCTACTGAACCAGATGAAAAAGCCCAACAAGGAAAATAAAAAGCACATATACACGAGAGTAATCAGTACCTGTCTGTGAAGACCTTAAACGACGTAAAAATAAAACAGATTTCAAAATAAAAAATGTTTTTGGAATTTCCTATTTTAATGCGAAATAAACTTTTCAGCAAGAAAGCTGTTGGACTGGAACATAAGAATACACGTGAGGAAAAGACACAAAAATTACTCTCGGTTTCAGCCCTCACATTCTATCAAACAGCAGGGAACAACATAATACAGTATTTTGTAAAATATATAGAAAAAGTATTATTTTTAGTCTATCTGTGATATTTTTTTAAACTAAGAAACAAAACATTCACTAAAAAAATCCTATTGTCATAATACAGTTCTGGTTCCACATGGGCCCTGGTGTATTTATTTCAAGAACACATTCAACCATAAGAATCATGGACAGTTAATTGATCAACCAGGTTTCTGGAGTTTAGTGAGTAGAACTATCTTGTAGACTGCTTATTTTTGCTGCTTTTAAGATAAAGAGAATAGATGTTGAAAGTACTGAAAGAGACAGAGTGGGAGAGTTTAAAAACAGAAATAAATACAGTTCTAGGAAGTCAAACTGAGACGAAAGGCTAGGACCAGATAAAGGATATGAACTCTCACATGATAATAAGGATCAAACTCAAGAAAACAGAATAGAAAGACATAAAAGGAAAACATGTGTTCAAAACTGTCAAGAAGTCTAATCCATATTTGGAAAGAAGGAATACAAGATGGGTTGACAATACAAAAGAATGGAGCTGTTCATCACTGGACAATAACATCTGTAATAACACGAAATGGAGATGAAAAGCTGATATTTTGAATATCTTTTAGAATTCATTACATTTATGAAAATACTGGCAGTGACAGCAATACCCTATATGACATAGTGAACAAAAGGCCTCAAAAATAGTAAAAGCTGCATATAACCAGCCCTGAACTACAGATTATTTCATACACGAAATACACATGCTTTTATATGCATTTACATGCTTTTTATGTTTCATATGCTTCATTCTACCCTATAATAAATGTAACACCATTGGTGGGACACAGAAAACAAATCAAGAACAACTCAGAGCAACAAAAATCAGATATTCACTGCCTTGTTTGTAAAAGTCAAGCTCAAAAGTGTGACACTCGAATGAAATATATAGATCCCAGTCTGAAGAGGTGTAATACTGAGACTACCTTGGTAACCTCGTGGGGGAGGCATGAGTTTCAAGTATTTTTATGTACATCTTTGCCCTTCTTTGCCCTTTAATACATTTTTGTGGCTATTATAACACTCCTTGAACATATGTGAAATTGTGTTAAAAATACAGTTGTGTTCTCATTTAAAAGAAAGAAGAAAAGGAAAATCACATGGGTACTGTATTACTGAATCATCCTCAACCAAGATCAAGTCAGAACGCAATGTTTCTGCAGCTGTAGCCCCATCTAACACCATGCAAAGCAGTATACCACAATCCAGCCCAAACCTCCTCCGCAGTGAGTGGATTACGAGCAATACTTAACATCACCAGTGACCAGTATTACAGAGGTTTTACATTCCAGAATTACAAGTTATAAATGTTACTGTGGTATCCACAGCATTCCCGTTAGCTCACGTTGAGAATATCCTGCATATCAGAGCAATGCTGATTATCTGCAAATGGCAAAGGAAAGGTTTTATAAACGCAGCATGAGTAGACAGGTATAGGAATGCCCTGAAAGCATGAGGGTAAATAACCTTTGATAAAATATGAGTTAGCTCTGAAAGGGTTAACATTTAAAAATGTATTAAGAAATGGCTAACTTATGTGGTTTTGACATATTCATGCACTTCTGAGAATCCTGGCTTCCTGGGGCAAATCCTGCAGGTATTGGCACTCTTCAGTTGAAGATTTCAAACTCTATTTTGTAAGATTTCCATTCAGATAAATTCAACAGACACAAAATATCAACATCACTGCAGACCTTCTGATGTGTGCCTACATCACTTATCTAGAGCCACAGCTGCACTCAATAAGGTTAAAGATCTTGTTTATAACCCATGATGTTGAAGAACCCTCCATCTTTAATTTATCCGGCTGTGTGTATTTCAGTATACAATATCTGATACATGTAATTATTCACCACTAGGATGAAAGTTTCAGTCCTGCTGCACTATGTAGTACTGAAATTCTTCAGCAGAAATGGAGGAGTTAGATTATTTATTTATTATTCACTTCACAGAACATCACAGTTCATCAAGTGAATACATATAAAGTCTGAGTCATTTTTAGACTGTCACAAACATATATTATTCTGACTGAAAAGAATGGACCTATCTTACCTTCAACACACTATCGGAGAATAATGAGAGCTTGTAACCTGTTGTAGCTGGCTAATGCGTGTATTGGATTACACTGCATTAAAATGAATGATCAAATATTTCATTTGATTTCTTAGTTAAAGATAGCAACAGAAAAATATTGATCAGATACTGCAAACTGTCAAGCTCAACACGATTTACAGGGATGTCAAATTAAAAGAAGCACAAAAATCTTTAGCAGAAAAAAAGGTCTATTGGTTCAAAACAACAACCAGAATCATCTTCAATTTCTTTTGGGCTCAACTATCTATGCTAAATTTGAGCTCAGAGTTTTTCACCAAGAGCTATCTAGGAAGACCGTAGCATAATGTTTATAGTGAGAACTTATCACTTCAGTGATGGTATTGTAATTGTAAAGAAAAAGAAACAAAGGCACAGACAATGTAGCCATATGGCCCCCCCTTTTTTTTTTCCTCTTGCTAGTGGAGATGACAAGATGGATTTAAAGGGTGGATTACCTCGTTAAAAAAAAAAAGTACAAAGGGGAATCACTGACATTTAGAATCCCTGCAGGAAAACCCAATATTTACATGTTGTGGCACTTCAAATAAAATATTGGAGGAATTTTTCAAGCCCTTCCTCCTCACTTCAAAACTAAAAAAGCCCTAAACAGAGCAGCATCTCAAGGCTCACAGACACTGCTTCAATTTTATTATACCTCTGACTGTTATGAGTGTTCATTCTGCCAACTTGATTACTACCAGATTTGAGGAAATATAAGGACCGCTGTTCCATAGATTCCAAAGTACACATTTGCTGCCTAACATGTCAGACATAAAAGCACTTCTTATCAATATTAACAATTGACGTGGACCACTGAAGTAATCCAAGTTTCATGTCCATGAGTCTTGGAAGTAGTTTTTAAAGTCAAATAACCAAAATGAACATGTTAAAATTGAAATGGACTCACTTCAACCAGTTCAGTTGTACCCATAGTACTGCAGAGGTGACTGGGATGTCCAATGCCAAAGGTTGTGCTGTATAATGTGTTTTTAAGCAGACTTTGCTGTTTCAAAGAATTCATCTTGATGAAGAAACAAACAAAATTACAATACAGGGATCTAACTACTTATTTGGTCTTCACTTTATCTTTTGTTGCTGTGGTTATGACTTTTTTTCTTGGATTGTACCATCACCTATAAAGCTTTGACTAATATCTTGAGTTCCAGCTTCCTTGGGGAAATTATAAAACCTCAGTTTCCTTTAATTTTTTTTACCTTCTAACTCTACTTACAAGCACCATGTCCTGGCTCTTTTGCATCACAGCCTTACTAGAGAAGGGTGCCACTGCTTCTGATCCAGGGGCTTCCTCACAAGTGTTCTGCCTGAAGTCGCAGATGTGATCGGCACTTCAGACGCCGTATTTGTGAGTCCTTCTTTACATTACATTTAACACTATTTGTACAAGCCATTAAGCCATTACCTGAGTGCTTCTTTCTGAGAAGGGCTCCTCTAGGGACTGGACTTACCAGTGAAGGTGGGAATAGCATTTCCATAACCCTTCCTTACACTGACTGAAGTGGCTCAGATAATTTGACACACATAAAACAAAAATGGCTGGTTTGTTACCAAGAGGCACTAAATATTACAGTGATAACTCTAGAGATTTACCAAGAGGAAGATGGAGAGGGCATTAAATTTGTTTTTCTGGTTTTCCATTTGCATTTAAGTAAGTTTTAGATTTAGTAAGTTATTCTTAAAGGCAAAAGGAAAACACAGCTTTAAATAAAATATAGTTGCAAAATAACACATACATGCAATTCCACTAATGACCGCAGTTTATGGTGGTTTTGAGTAGATGGCATTTGATACAGACAAATTATTTCTTTAAAGATAAATAACAGGCAAGCAATCATAGTTTGCTGGTCTCTTCAAAAGAGCAGAGAACAATAAAAAGGCACCACCAAGATGTGTTTCTTTACCATACCACACCTGCCATAGAAGTGATGGGATGGGGTAGAAGCAGGCCAACATATTAATCAATTACAGAAAGCCCACAAAACAAAAGCTTGGTTTTATACAGCAGAGTCATTTTGAAGTAGCTGTGTGAGGTATCATATGAGTGTGACTGTGAAGGTCTGCAGGGTGCGAAAGTCCAACTGCTTTGTCTGCTCCTTGTCAATGAACTCTGCAGCTTGAGCTGAGCTCTCAGTGGCTCTGTGTAACCACACAGCGAGCTGCCTCCAAAATAGCTCAAACACACCTGCATGAGCTGCAGTGGTGGACACAGACCCAAGAGGACCATGGCTGTGGCCATCCCAGATGTCGTTTCTTTCCTATATGGAAACCAAGCACAGCTAAGAAATGCCCATATCTTTGTATCTCCCTTTCTTTCCTTAGAAAGACAAGCTCCAGGTTAAGTCATTTGATTCGAGAAGGTGAAAGCCCTTGGTTTCACAATGCTAACAATCCAGAAGCACCCACGGGTTTCCTTAATCAAGCAGGCAAGGGAGGGAGACGGAAGG